AGTAGGGAGCCCACAAAGGACGTACGCGCCCAGCTATGTACATGAACACGGCCCCTCGATCCGCGAGACCGGCCGCGTTATACGAACATTTGCGCAATGCGTACTCTCGTAACCAGCGTGGATTCATGTACATGTACGTCCTTCTTTCGCTCCTGATGTAGGGGGCGCACGACAAGCCGGGGAAGCACCCGGCGGGAGGGGCCTCGTGGCACTCCTGGCCGCCGAGGGTGGACCGAGAAATGCCACACGAGGACGGCACCGCACGGCCAGGCCGGGCCCCGTAGGCCTCGAGGACGACCTCGGGGCTCAGCAGGGGGCCCCAAGCGGGCCCCAAGAAGTTACTCCAGATTTCGTAGTAAAAGGGAGGGGGTCTGGACCCTCCAAGACGAGCCATTTCAGACCTCCCCCGTGGGAGAACCCTCCAAAACATCGTCCCCAGACCCCCCAGGCCCTCGAGGATAGCCTGGAAGAGCCCCCCCCCCGAAATGAGACCCCCCTCCCTTTGTTACGAAATCTGGAGTACCTGGGCCCCCGGGTCCCTCGGAATTCCTGCCGAAGCTCTAGACCTTGGATGTTCCTTCGGCGATCGTGAGGCTATTTTCCGGGGCCCCAGGGGTTCGCGTTCATCTTACGGCGGAGCCCGCCCTCCACGAGGAGGAGGAGGAGGAGGAGGAGGAGGAGGAGGAGGAGGAGGAGGAGGAGGAGGAGTGCACAAGGCGGCCAGAGATGGCCGGAGGGCCCCAAGACACAGACGCCTTCTGCCAGCGTCGGCGATCTCATGCGAGAGCAGTGCTGTGTCCAATGTTTCTCGCCAGTCCCAGGATTTGCTCCTCCAGTGTTCGCGTCAGGACGACGCCCCAACCTCCCGAGATGGCCAACGACCCCAAGGTGGCCCCAGCAGGCCCCAAGATGCGGCCGATAGCGCCCAGAACGGTCCAACGGGGCCCCAAGAAGCCCTTGGGCACCAGAAGCCTCAAGACAGCCTCAGGGAGAAAGGGGGCAACGTCGAACTCAGTTTGGGTGGGTCCTCTCTGCAGTACACGCGCTGGTCCAGCGTCGCGGCCAAGAACTCGGAATAATCGATCTCGCCGCTGCCGTCCGCGTCGACCTGCCTGATCACGTCTGCAAGATCAGCGGGAATCTCGTCGGACATTCCAGCTTTTATCATCCCTTCCCGGATCTCCTTGGCGTTCAAGGAGCCCTCTCCGCTCTCGTCGAGCATCATGAACATATCAACGTGCGGCTTTGTGTACTCGTCCTCTAGCTGCCCACAGATCATGTGGATCGCAGCCCGCTTCAGCATGTTCGCCTTCGAATAATTTCTCAAGTTGTCGATGTACCTAAGTTTGATCGGCTCCCACCTCTGCGGGGCCTTCTTCAACAACCACGCGTGCTTCAGAGCGTCGCGAGCTGTCAGACGATCCTCCTGGTTCAACTTCAGTAACCACCGTATCATGTCCTTGGCCTCAGTGCTAATGTGTTTCCAGTCCCCAGCGTTGAACTGGAAATTGCCAACCCTTACCCGGGCAAGAATCTCGGCATCTGAATCCCCAAAAAAGGGCGGATACCCACACATCATGACGTACATAACCACGCCCAAGGTCCACATGTCGCATGACTCGTTGTACCTCCCAAGCAGCACCTGCGGTGCGATGAAATAAGGCGCTCCAACCTTTGACGTCATACTTTGCTTGGGCTCGAAGAACCTCGCCGACCCAAAATCTATTATTTTGATGGCGTTGTCTTCCAAAGGTCCCAGCCGGCATAAACAGAAGTTCTCAATTTTGAGATCCCGGTGGCACACACTCTTCTCGTGCATGTAGAAAACTGCGCGAAATACCTGCTTCATCAGAATAGCGGACTGAAGTTCGGTGAACTTGCTGACCTCCAACAGCTTGTCAAACACCTCCCCACCAGCGCATAACTCGGTGACGATGTAAACACATTTCTTATCCTCGAACGTCTCAAACATGCGAACTATGTTCGGGTGGTCCATCTCTTTCAACATTTGGATCTCTTTTGCTATTTTCTCTACCTGCAGATGCCGCCCATACTTGTTAAGGATTTTCACCGCACGGGCCCCACCGGTGGACTTGTTCAGACACTTGCAGACCCGACCGTACGATCCCTCTCCTATCTTGAGGCTCTCAATCTCGTAGAAATTGTCGATCGGCTTGCGGTGGTCGATGACGATGGGGAGCAAAAGCAGTGCACCTACCTTCAATGCCCCTGAAGCAAGGAGGGGGGCCCTCCTCCTACTCCTCTGATCCTTCTGCAAATTCCACTCCCGTCTCTCCTCCTCGTGTTCCTGCACGTGGGGTAGATGCACGTTTTCTGCTCCCCTGATGAAGGTTTCTCTTCCGATACCCCCTTTGTCCACCTCGCCACTTGCTTTGGCTTCTTCGATTCTCTCCACCATTTTGCGCAGCAACCAGAGCTGATACTCCCGCGTCTCTCTCTGCGTACCATCTCCCGCGTGCCGGCGTCTGCAACAACGGCACGACCTACAGATACTCAATACCATCAGTGCCCTCGCACCAGAGAGACCCGAGGCCGCATGAGCCGAGATAGCTACGGGGGATGGCCCGACGCAGGCATGCTTTCGTGCACGAGAGGAGCTCAGAAGGCCAACCCTGCTCCGAGGATTTTGGGGGATGATCGCCCATGAGGAGGCTGAGGATGCCGAGGGATGCCGAAACGATCGTGCCAAGGTGACGCCTCTTCCAGTCCTCCTATCTCCCGTCCTCTGGGAGGACGGTGCGGGAGAGAAAGGCCACGAGAACGCAGGAGAAGGAGGAAAGCGATGAGCCGGGAGGGGGAAGGTTGACGCTACGGGTGCCACCAAACGCACATGCGTTAGAGATGGAGGAAGAGACCTCGTGCTCGAATTGAAAACCCCGATCTGGTTTTGACTGCATCCATGTCGATATGTGAAGGGCAACGATAGGGGGGGCCTGGGAGAGAGGTCGACGCCTCGACCTGGAATCGGCGATACATCGCCGATAGATCGGCGATAGGCCCTCGGTAGCAAATCCCAATGTTCCCGGGCGGGGTGGGGTTACTTGACCCCTGTCGGCGATGAACAGGCGATTGGGGGTCGATGCATCCCCCCCTATGCCTATCCCCCCTATCGTTGCCCCTGAATATTGCTCTCGCTCGGGCTCCAAACAATTTACGCCTCGAGCCACACCGCGAACGGCACGCCCCCGCGCGGGCGCGCCTCCGACCCTCGCAGGACGCACGAGACCGGCCCCCCAGCCCCTGGACACGCCAGCAACAGTGTTCCCCCGACCTGGGACCCCAGACAATAGGGGGCAAACAAACCTACCTCGCTTTTGACCACCCTCGCTTCCACGAAATACCAAGCGATGCCCAACTACGGCCTGTACTGGTCAGGCCGCTTGACGAGGAGGCGCGTGGTATGACTTGGTTTTGCCTGGAAGCGAACGCGGGGTAGGTAATTCACGCTCGGAGACACGCCGAAGCCAGGTTCGGGCGGATGGCAGCGGCGGGCGACCCGCAACCGGGGGGGAGAAGACACGGACCCTCAATGGGGTCCTCTGGGGCCCCTCTTTTGGGCACCAGCTAGCTCCGACTACCACCCGCCCGACAGGACCAGGACAGCATCGGACCTGGACAAACCCGGCATGCCTGAGCTCCGGCGGTCCCAGACCCCCGACGTCGTGAATTGTTCACGACGTCGACCCCCCACGTGTCTGGACCCATTCCCCGGGACCGGTTTTTCGTCCTGTGTCGTTTTGTTGACGGTCCCGAGGGCCGGTCAGGGCCCCCAAAGGCCAACAAATAATGAAAAACCTCCCGTCGTGATTTTTTCATAACTCAAGGGGGTCTGGGGTGCCGGAGGATGTGTCGGGCGCCGCGGCCGTCCCAGAGCGCTTCGGAACTCTCCGAGAGCGCTCCCGCACGCTCTCGGAGCGAGGCATCCCGCGGTCCTGGCCTCGCCCGGCCAGAGATTCTCGACCCCGTGGCCGCAGGCCCGACTCTCGCCGCACGTCGTGTCCTGGGGCCCGTCCTGCCCCTCCTCCCTCCTCCTCCTCCTCCCTCCTCCTCCTCCCTCCTCCTCCTCCTCCTCCTCCTCCTCCTCCTCCTCCTCCTCCTCCTCCTCCTCCTCCCCCTCCTCGCCCTCCCCTCCTCGGGTCGCCTACAGCCCCGGGGGAAACCGAACATCGCCCGTGATGTTTTCTGAACGACGCCGCGATGTCGGGGCCATCATCCTCAGAATCGGCTGGCCTGCGACTCGCCCACTGTGGATCAGAGGCCAGGGGACAAGGAAGGATCAGGATGCTCACCGCCATCAGGTGCGTGCACACCTGACCCTTGCTCTCCATGGCCAAATCTAGCGGGTCTGTCATTGCCATTCGTGGGAAAGTATGCGTGGAGGGTAAATCCTGATATCTTCGATGCTGAGGAACCATATCGTCTCGGAAGCTATCTTCTCGTTCGTGGCTATGTGGCGGGGTAGCCCTGTTTTTTTGTGCTTGCTTCCCAAATTCCCGCTTGCCCTTATCGCAAATGATGTTCTTCCCTGCGCTCTGGGTGCGTGCTGCAACCATCGAACGCCACATCGCCTATTGGCTCACTCACTCGCACACCCTCGCCCTGCACCAGGTCGTCGTCTTCCTCTCGGGTGCTTGCTAACTAGGGATCCGTGGATCTGGCGCGTGGGCGCCAACTCCACGGATAAGGAAACCTGACCCCAGAAACATGGCGCCAATGCCGCCTCGTCTGGCGAGGGAGCGCGCCGACTCTTCACGGAAGCGGGACCCATCACGAATCCACGCGCCTTAGTCCTTTGTTGTGACTTCTCGATCCCCCTCCAACTCCCCCCCCCCCACACACCCAACCGACGACGACGAGGAAGGAAGGCGACGGCGGCAGCGAGGACAGCGAAAACGAGGGCGAAGACGACGACGGCCAAGGCGGCGAAGGTGGCGACCACGACGACCGCCAGGCAAGGCAGAGCAGGCTCCGCCGCCCGCCTGCCCGTCGCGCTCGTCCCAGAAATACAACATCACGTCGAGGCCGTTCACCTCTGCACCGCGCCGAGTGAGGCGAGGGCTCCTCATTCCGCATCCTCCCACCACTGTTCCTTCCTCTTCCTCCACCTCCTGCTTCTGCACTCCTCCTTGCTCCTCCTCTTCCTCCTCCTCCTCCTCCTCCTCCTCCCCTCCTCTTCCTCGTGCTCCTCCTCGTGCTCCTCCTTGTGCTCCGCCTCTTCCCCCTGCTTGGCCATGTCCTTCTCCTCCAATGTTCCTCCTCCTGCTCGTTCCCCCGCCTCCTGTTCCTCCTGACTGCTCCATCGATATCCCGTGCCTCCTATCCCTCCATTCACTCCTTCGCCCTGTTCCCTTTCTCTCCGCCCCCCTCCGCACTGCTATAAAATGGGCCCTAGGACACACAACTAGATACACACAAATAGAACGATTTCCTATATTTTCCCATACGTTCTGGGTTTCTGTCTCTCCCCCCACTTCCCATCGTTTCCCATATTTTCTAGGGGAATCGGCGATTAATTGTGCCTGTGTGTTTTTCCCCTCCTGATTCTGCCCCCCCCCATCTTTCCTCTTTCCTGCCCCCCCTTCCGCCCCTGCAAGGCGGGACACGTTAGGAGCCAGAAAAAAAAACAAACTAAGGAATGTCACACAAAGGGTTTTGGCACCACCAACGGTGCAACGCGTGTGCGCACATGCCACTGGATCCCCAGCGATCCGAACCAGGGTTGATGCACGGCCGTGCTCTAGGATGCAGTTGACATGTATGGTGTGGCAAGGCTGTCGGCGGCGACGAGATCCCAATATCCGCTACCAACAAACATTCCATGGTGGTTTGGCACAGCCAAACCGCCGTGCAACGTCAGTTTGTTCATCCGTTGACAGCAGCACGCGTCGCGGCAGCAGAACGCAGTAGTGCGCGTGGGCATGCAAGGCTGGCGATGTGGCTGGCCAGCTGACACCGCGACTTCGGCAGAAGAGCCGAAGTCCACGTAGGATTGTTCTGGGCGTGGTATCCGGCGTAGCTGCATCGCACTGCCAAGCGCCGTGGCCTTGCGATTGTAGCGCCAGGCCCCGCGCGCTCGTCGAGGCGGGAAAGCAAGCTCTACACAAAGGAATCGTGTGTGCTCTTGTGGGGGCGGCGAAAACGATCATACACAAAGGAAATTCCTTTGTGCCCCCCGCGTTGGCAGTGTAACCAGACCGCACACAAAGGAATTACACGAGACTTCGCGGCACACAAAGGAATTACAGCAACGCCCTCTGGGTCGCGCTCCTCGCGCGCGGTGACAGCTCCGAGCTGGAAAGGAAAGGGGAGCGGGACAAGGCAAAGCAGGGGAAGAAGAAAAAGAAGAGGAGGGCGAGAAAGAAGCGAAGGAAGTAACGGAAGGAAGCCAGGATGCGCGCAAGCGAAGCTAATTAACACTGCGCGCCAAGACAGTTGTTCGTTCGTTCGGTTGGCCGTGCGGCAGATGAGTCGAACAAAAAATGTTTGCTGCCTATCGAAGGGACTTTTTGGGAATGAGACTCGCGCTCCCTTCCCAACCCCCTTTTCCCACACCCCGTTGCGAGCGCGCGACGATTTTTTCTGGCCCGCGGGCAGAGGACTGCCAATTGCTGGCAAGCGGCCTTTCCACCCGTCACGCGTTCTGAACACATGCGACCAGCTAAACGCATTTGCCACGCAAACCGCCAGCTCCAAAGACCGACACCACCCCGACCCCCGCATCCGTGCCAGGCACCCTCTCAACGACGCCCCCTTCCGGCGTAAAACCAATAAAAACCCTTTGTGTTTATGTGTTTTTTCCTGTTCTGACACGTCGGCGTCTGCGTCCAGGGCGGCGGGGTGGCCGTGCGTGCTCCACAGACATCTCGATGACTCGGCGGCCAGGCTGATCAAGCGCTGGCTCCGTCACGGGCGATTGCTGGAGCCAATGGCTCCCGCGTGGAACAGCCACCGCCCACGGCCATCAGATCCCCTGGTCGCCGACCTGCTCGAACGCGCCATCTTGGACCTCGGGTGCGTTTCCAACAGAAACGTCACTCATAGAATTCCTCAAAAGGTCCGCGCCGATCTCTTGGATCTACTTTGGACCTTCCTCCCCCGGCGCGCGGAGCGCGCCAGGGGCGCCGGAGGCGCCGCCTAGAGGGCCCAGCGCAGATCCAAGAAATCTGCGCAGAGTGCCGAAAGTCTATGTTGATGCCGTTGTTCCTTCTTCGAGTTTCACAAATGCGCGGGCAGGCGCTGGGTGGGCGTCTCCGCTCGCCGCCAATCGGCGGAGCAGGTCTTGGGCAGGGCCGCCCCGCATGCCAGTGTGCGGGGTGGCGCTGGGCGGGCGTCTCCGCGCGCCGCCAGTCCGCGGAGCAGGCCGTGGGCAGGGCATCCCCCGCACGCCATGGGCGCGCGGCCCGCACGCCACCAAAACCATGCCGACCACACGCCCCCCCGGCCGAGCCGCCGGGGAACCCGCTGACAAGAACGACTCCCAGGCCGCCCAGGCTGGGGCTTTCTGCTCCTGGATGCCCAGAACGGCTGCCCCCACTGAGCCCAAAATGAACAGGAGGGGGCCGAACTGAGGCGCCAAACCCACCAAGGCTCACCAGGGCCTAACACAGAACACCAAACGGGTGCAGGTTTCCGCACAAACCCCTCAGGAAGACGGAGGGCGGAGAGCACGACGCTGTGGTGACCACGAACTTCGCAGATCCCAACTGGGCCCTATCGACTCACCTTGTGCCCGCTACCGATATTGGAGGGGCATGCGCCTAGAGTTACAGAAAGACTTAAGGCAATCGCTACATCGGACTAGCCCAAGCTCAGCAGCTGAGTGAAAATCCTGCTCAATAGTGGAAAGCATAATAATCATGTTTCTGCTAGTTCGTTGCTTAGCAGACTCACCTGCAACTGTATGCACCCTAACTGCCCTGGGCGCCATGAAGGCCGCGAGCTAAGCGATCTTCCGTGGCATCTGAACGACCCCACGATGGTTACCCACCAACGTGTCCACAACCTTCACTCCAGTAGCTCCACCATACGCAAAGGTGTCCGCCCACGTATCGCCCATTGCGGGTGCCAGTAGGCCATCTGATTCGAAGGATTGCAAAAAACCAAAGGATTGCAAACAAAAACCCTGGATTGCAGAAAAATCAAGGGTTCTTTTGCAATCCAAGGGTTTTTTTGCAATCGAGGGTTTTTTGCAATCCTTCGAAGGGTTTCTTTTGCAATCCAAGGTTTTTTGGAGATCTGCTCGATACCACTGTGCGATGGCGCCCATGCGAGCCCACTTCTCTCATAATCACGCGGGAAAAAAGCTTTCTCCGACTGTAAGACCCCACATCAGAATCTATGCACCTTGCCCCTCGCCCTCTTCTCCTTTGACTGGCGCAGGCCTTCCTTCCACCCTCTGCGTCCTCCTCATCCTTCTCCTTGTCCTCCTTCTCTCCCTCGTCTTCCTATTCGTCGTACTCGTTGCATGTCTTATCCTCTTCCTCTTCCGCCTCCTCCTCCTCTTCCTCCTCCTCCCCCGCCTCCTCCTCCTCCTCTTCGTCCCTCTCCTCCTCATATTCCTACTCCTCCTTGTCCTTTTCCCTCTCCTCCTCCACCTCCTCCTCCTTTTCCCCCTCCTCATCTCCACCCCGCCTGTTCTCCTCGTGCACCTGTCCTTCCTCCTGTGATAAAAATCTACACTGTAGGTTTTCCTCGGTGCCCTCGCCACCACGCCCGGCACGGGCGCGTTCCCCGACGGCGAAATCGCGAAGCCGTTGGGACAACCCCGCAGACATCGAACTCATTGCGGCCGCGCTCACGAGCCCAAAAAAGACGGCAGCTACAAGATCCCGATGACCCGCTCGGATGAACAGCATGAGCTACGGGCCCCACAGAGAGAGGCTCCCGCCTGAGACTTCCTCGCAATTCATTCACAGACGAAGCTCCCGCCTGAAACTTCCTCCATACTCAAGCTGGAAGAGGCCAAAAGTGACGACAGATGACCCGCTTGGATTGATAACATGAGCTGCGGGCCCCATAAAAAGGGGGCTCCCGCCGCAGACTTCTTGCAATTAACTCACAAAGGAAACTCCCGCCAGACATGTCCTCCATATTCAGGCCTCAGGGGCCCAACAAGTGACGACAGTTACAAGTTTCCGATGGCCGGCTCGGATTAATAACATGAGCTGCGGGCCTCATACGAAAGGGGCTCCCGCCTGAGACTTCCTCGCAATTCATTCACAGACGAGGCTTCCGCCTGAGACTTCCACCGTACTCAAACTAGTAGAGGCCCAAAGTGACGACAATGACAGGATCCCGATGCCCCGCTCAGACTAGTAACGTGAGCGACGGGCTCCATAGCGACGGAAATTCCGCATTAGATTTTCTAGTACTTCACTCACAGACGTGGCTGCCGCCGCAAACTTCCTGCAGATTCGCGCCGCAGGAGCCTGAAAATCACAACGGGTTTCAAGTTTCCGATGGCCCGCTCGGATAATAACATGAGCTGCGGGCCCCATATGGGGAGGGCTCCCGCCTGAGACTTCCTCGCAATTCACTCAGGAACGAAACTCCCGCCTGAGACTTCCTCCATTACACAAGCTTGAAGAGACCAGAAAAGACGACAAATACAATATTCCGATGGCCCGGTCGGATTAATAACATGAGCTGCGGGCCCCATAAGGAGGGGGCGCCCGCCTGAAACTTCCTCACGATTCACTGACAAATGCAACTCCAGCTGGATTTTTCCACCTTCTTCATACCTCAAGGACCCAAAAGCGACGGTAGTTACAAGTTTCGGATGAGACGTTTCGATTAGTAACATGAGCTGCGGGCCCATAGGAAAGAGGTTCCCGCCTGAGACTTCCCCGCAATTCACTCACTGACGAGACTCCCGCTCGAGACGCCCTCAAGATGAATGCGTGCGCGTGTGAGTGATGACAATGGTGGTGGTTCATAAGGTGACGACAATGATGGTGATGATAGTTCCCGCTTAACAGACGATGATGACGATGGAAATTGGTAGTGCGTGATGGTGATGGAAATGGTGATG